CATTTACTACTGTAAATGCAGAATTTCTGTTCACAAATTTCCAAATTCTCGTTGACAAAAATTGCTTGAACGCTGATTTTGTACATGACGAACCGCTGCCCCTGGAGATCAATTCCTATATCCCACCTAAACTATCAGACAAACCACCACTCCATCAAACACACAGCTTAGTTTGCACACATTATCTGTCTAATTGTTCTCTGTTTGTAAGCATCTCTCACATTAACTCCATCGCCTGATTTCGTGTTCAGACTTCGAAATGAAATCGTTAACTTATAGACAGTTAAGACTTTGAAGGCTGCAACAGATAAACAACAGATGGAGTTTAGATTGTCCAGCTTGGGTTAGTCCATTCGATTGTTCAGAGACAACAGGCACTCTTGATGGTCTTGGTTGTGGGTTTCACTTCTTGGTAGATCGTTAATTCCCCACGAGGGCAATGCATTCAGATACGATACAAATTCGCACAGTGCGTAAAAATGTACCTCTAAAGCTGTTCTTGGCTCTTGGCTACGGCACATTACCTGATTTTTTCCGTTGGTACTAAACCTCGGAAGTGAATGTATTTGTTTTTTCATGTGGACTTCCCATGCACTTAACGCAGCATCGAGCGATCTAATACACGAATTATGAAGCAATCTGGAAGTGACAGTTTGCTTTTATTCTCCATTTCTAAAGTACATTTTGTGCTTTGATGGTCAACTTTTAACTTTTCTCAATAGTTTCATTTGGTCCAACTTTGCGCTACTCACATTAAAATGTAATCCGTGTATCTTGTGCACACTGGACAACCTTTGATGGATGATGAAAGTTGATTGTTTTCAAGTTTCGTCGTGGACAACTCGGTGAAAAGCAATTCCAGCGATTAACTCTCATCGATAAAGCTAAATTGAGTGTTGCACGCTCATANGTGTACATTATTACTTTCTACACAGCTGAAAAGATATTTAATCATTTCACTGATGGGAACGTACAGCGAAAGCATTGCTCGATCAACCAAGTTTATATTGTGAATTATGTTCACGAAAAGGGATTTCTCTTTTACACGGGTTTCAATAATTTGGCCAGTCACTTTGCGAGAGCATGGTACGACAATTTGTGCAAATCTAACGTCGGTTATAACGATAATCCTTCTTTGTGTGCTTTCGGTAATCCATAACATCTTGCCATTACTGCCCCGTTGACCAAAAGTGGACTTTCTCTCACCTCTAAACATCGCCAAACCTTGGATNTGGATAGTCCACGCTCTAGCTAAACTGCTCCATCTTTTCTCAATTTTTTGATGAATTTTAATCGATCAGTCGATTGAGACCATCTTTTCTATATAGCCGGTTGGATTAAACAGCACAATCGCACTCCCTCATCCGATTTGAATAGCATAACGTCCTTGTTTTTTCTAAGATATCTTAATATTTTAAGATGTCCTGCAGTCAATAGATCACTTGTGGTCAACTTCACATTTTGATTCTGGTTACAGGCATTCACCAAGGTAGATTGAAGCCTTCCCAACTGCCTGTATGAAGAAGGAAACAGGCTTGAGAATTGCACATTGAGGTTTCCACATTCCAAACCGGAATCTATTTATTTAGAACTGCTATTAGGACATAAAAAATTTAGTCCTTGAGGTAACACTTCAAGCGGCATTTGGAGCAAACTCGCACTTGAAATATTGACAAAATGGTGTGTTTGATGTTGACAGGAAACTCGCTCATTGGCTTGAAAGGACTCAGTTGCAGAGACGATGTATTTTGAACGCGTCTCACCTACCTCTTTGGACGCAATATACTATGCGTCGTCCTCGAAAGACTATATTTCGGTGAGCAATACTCTATGTCACACAGTTCCGATTCGAATTCCCAAGATTAGACAACACGTCACGTTAAGAAAGAGATTTACGGTGAAGCGTTACACTTTTACCATTCACACGTTCTCTCCTCAAAAAGAAACAGTAATGTTCCGCAAACTGAGGTCGCGTAACACAATCATCATTGAACCGAATTCCAACATTCTCCGGGTTCTTACGGACTTTAACATACTATTGAAACCCACAAAGTAAGATAGGGTCTTTGGTTTGTTCGAATGGTTTTAACAGTTCCAAAACATACTTTTGGGGCAAAACACAGCGTCGAGCAAGTCAATACATCACGATACATAAATATAACTAAGGGGAAGCTTTTCTTCCAGGAAGAAAAAATTTACGTCACAGACTATTAGGATTGATATCATCTTGTGACCAGGGATGAGATTCACAAGGAACAGAGCTGTTTGCGCATTCGTAAAATTCCTCGGGATGTGGGGTGTGTAGGATGTAGTTGTGTTGATCTGGGCCTATGAGATGACGCAAAACTTGGAGCGACGCGTTATCCCACGACCACATGTATTGCTTTTACATTGATGCTAAGCGTACAACACCGTCTTTTCCAATGTAAAAACCATATGATTAAGGCGACATGGAATGTTTGTAGAGTGATGATTTTGATGTTGGAAGTTCTTTGAGCGGGAAATGCTGCTGGCATTATGTGGTGATCCGAGATGACACATACCCTGGAGCGACGCGTTACAGTTTTTGTACAACTGTGATCAATGAAACTTCACGGGTGACGTCAGTAAAGCGCACACTGCTTCTGGACTACATATTATGGGTAGATTGTGCCAGTCACTCAGAGACCATACGTCCCAGACAGAAGCAGAACGACGCCAGAAATACCGGAACGCATGAGCATGTTTTGTGCATATTATTTAACCTCCCTTATCTCTTCCAATGAACAAACTACCACCCCTGTGGCCTTTTCCTCGCTTCCCAGTTACGTGGGATATCGCGTGCTAGTGGCACTGTGGTTCAGTGCTTCCGTGATCCGTATTGCGTGGTTCGTATTCCGAGTTCAGTGCATATTACTATTACTGCTACTACAATCATTACAGTAGACCATTTGAAATGAAGTGCCCGCACAAATAGTTTTGTGTACATAGAGTGGGGTTGTACAGATTTCTACCGCTCCTGCTGTGGCTACCATTCGACCGCAAATGATGCACTTCATCCTATCCACGATGTCGGGAGAGTCGCTAGTCTACACCACTCAAGAAACGATTACTAGGCAGATCCGAAACGTATGAATCACTCGTTTGTAA